ACAATTGTAATTCGAATCAATTCGAGTTTTTGTAATTTAAAATTGGTTAAAATGTCTTGCGAAGAAGTTACGCGTCCGGAAACGTGGGAAATTTTAAGTTTAGATTTGCCACTGACATTCACCTGACATTTCTCGTCATTGCTACCAATCTTACCGATCTAAATTACACCAGATCTATTAAAGAACGCATTTCCGCTATTAACGAACTTCTGTGACGTCATTTGCGTGCATTAATAGCTCTATTAGAAAACCAAAAAACGTGGGCGATAGAAAAATTGTATTTTCGAATTTGTCAACCGTCATATAAAAATCTGGTAAATTACGAAGTATATTTACGGCTAGCAGTTTTTGTTCTATTATGTGTTTTTTATTAATTTCATTAGTAAGAAAGTAAATGAGGCGAACGACTATTTTCATGTTTCGCCGACGTTTCATGACCCCAAAGAAATAAGTCTCTCGTTTCCGTCCGTCTGTCTGTCGTTTGCGTTGATTGATTATTGTCGAATTTCATATGTAGGGTAGGAAAATCGCGTAGATGGTAAAACGCTGACTAAAATTTGGCTAATAATAATCCTCATCAACAATTTGGTGACGTTCACTCAATTTTTTTTTAATAAATTCCATTTAACTTTTATAGAAAAAAAACATATTTCTATACTTGTGATTTATAACTCCGTCTTGATTTTTTACCCTAGGCATTCAGATTTTCGCAAAAAAATCCAAATTGCATCAGCATGTTTTGTACCAGTGCACTGACTGATGGTAAGTAAACTCTCGGTGGTCGTGCCGTGAAAATGTTGGATTACTACCCCGAAAGTCGTTGGTCCGATTGACTTATGGGTTACAATTTTTTTTATTGGTCGAATCAAGATTCACCCTCATTTTTTCGAAAATTTGAGAATACAGCAATGTTGAACCTACCAGTACTGAATAATAATAAAGTAAGAATTATCATAGTTATTATAATAACACATACCTACTTATCCACACAATAATATACAGAACGTCTTGGTCTATTTTGTAGCTTAATTAATAATTTTAGAATTATGCAAATCAAGTAGCTTGCTACGTGCTTAATCGTCGCATTCTTTCTATGTATAAACATAAACAATCGAAGTTAAACATGTACTAACAGCAATTTTATCTGTTGGTTATCTTCTTCAAATACATATATTTGCGGTCTAGGACAATTGTACAACTTGGCGCAGGGATACTTTGGCGCAAGCCATCTTGGCGTGGGCCATCTTGGCGCGAATGAACTCGGACCAAGAAAAATAGATATAATTATACAAAAATTGCACCCGTTGCACCTAATTTTTATAGTCTCCAACGCGTGGAGGGGTAATGTCGACTTTTTAATGGACACACGGGCGCTTCGCGCCCTGCACCCCATTATAAACATACTCGTAAACGTGGAACTTCTTGCTCCGTGGATCATTTAGTTATTGGAATTTTTGCGAATGAAACTGTGTATTTGGTTGCCTACACTTAGCATAAATAACAGGCTGCCAACCACAGTACGAACAATAAATATTTTTTTATATTATATACCGACGTACTCGCGCCAAGATGGCTCGCGCCAAGATGACTTGCGCCAAAGTGTGCCTGCGCCAAGTCGGTCGCGCCAAGTTGGCCGCGCCAAGTCGGCCGCGCCAAATAGTCCCATTCCGATATATTTGATATTGTCGGCACTTGTGTCTTTCTATAGCAGTCTACACATATCTTCATTTTGATTTATAGAGACTGTCTTAAAAAATGAATAAAATTCTCAATTTTTTTTACTTTTTGTAGAGGCTTTATTTACTGGAATGTAAATCAGGGGAGAGGGAAGTTGTGTGCAAATAACTTTAGACCATTGTTTTTAAATTCAAGAAATTTTCAGCACTTTTTTGAGCCTTACTTAGTAAAATGATCAGAATTATAGTGTGAAGTAATTGGTGTGGTGTCATCAGTAAATCACACAGTCATTAAAAAACACAAACACATGTATATAAAAGATTGAATCCAAGACAATTTGTTTCATTGTCAACAACTTCTGACAACACAGTATTGGTATTGTTAGTATTACCTAGTACCTAATGCAACTAAATATTTGTACCCTACCAAAAATTGGTTCCGCCATTTCAAAATTTTATTAGGAATATCTACCGACCAGCGACGCTCGCTTGTCGTCCTTGGCAAACAATATGAGTTAGATATGAAATGAAATAAACTCTATTAATATTTGACATTCCAACGAACGCATCTTGTTATCGTCCCACTATAATTAAATATAATTGATTGTGCAATAACAAATAACTTTATATTGTGAGTGTCGAGTGGAAGAATAAAAGTGAAAGCATGTAATTTTTGTACATAGTAGTTATCTAACTTTATTTGTTGATACGACGCGTTCTTAACTAATCTGTGAAAAAAATAATTGGACATTTTTACCGTTAAGTGCACTAGTAAATTTGTTACATACTTTCCACAGTTAAGTTGAACTTTATCACCAAAAGTTTTCGCAAGTTATCAACTCTATTATGACGTTAGCAACAAGGACTAGAAGCGAAATAAAAACATGGTTAGAAACACTCTTGAAAAACGAGAATATAGATAACCTGGATTTCACAATTTTGGGAAATTCTGAACAAGGAGATGGTTATATCGGGGACATACTTTTCGTCGAAGTGTGTGGAACGACGAAAGATGAAACAAAAAATTACAACCTCGTTCTTAAGTGTTCAAAACGTAGCCAAGCTTTGAGAGAAAAATCGCCAGTGAAGGAAGCTTTTTTAAGTGAAATATATTTCTACGATGTTGTGTTTCCGAGTTTCAAAAAATTTCAGCACGAGAGAAATATTACAGAACCGTTTGAGAAAGTACCAAAATGCTATGGTACTTTAACCACTGGTGACACAGAAGTGCTTGCTTTAGAAAACTTGAAAAACAGAGGTTACTTTCTGTGGGATAAAACAAAACCATTAACCAGACCATATATTGATTTGATAGTTAAAGAATATGGAAAATTGCATGCAGTATCTATTGCAATGCAAGATCAAGAACCCGAAAATTATAAAAAGCTAGTGAGCGGTCTGGACGATGTACTTAAAAGGTTTTTTCAAGCCTCAACCGAGATGTATAGTAGCATGGGAGGCGCTATTGTAGAAATTTATGAACTGTTGAAGGGTGAACTGGATGAACGAATTTTAGAAAAATGGTACGAATTAAACGAACAAGTGGAACCCTTTTTTACCAAAGCTTGTGAACCTTTGGAAGGGATGAATGTGATAACTCATGGCGACTGTTGGTGTAATAATTTTATGCACTATAATAAGGTAAAGTACAAACTTTTATATAATAAATTTAGATTCTTATTTATTTATTTCTTTTATTAGAATGGTAAACCTTTTACGGCTGCGATACTAGACTGGCAGCTGATGACACATTCGCCACCTATTTTCGATTTGTCGTACTTTTTGTTTGCTTGTTTGTCAGAAGACGATATCAACGATATGGACACTATACTGGAGTACTATTACGGATTTTTGATAGATCATTTAGAAAAATTGGGAAGTTCAAAATCACTTTATCCGAAAGAACAGTTTTTAGAAGACTGGAAAAAGTATAACAAGTTTGGACTTTTAATGACACCAGTTATTCATAAATTTTGTTTATCTGAAAAAGATGATGCTCCGGATATGACCGCAGCAGCTGAAAAAGGAGAAGATATTTTAAAAGTTTTTGTAAAACCCATCAAGAATATCAAGAAATATAAAGAAAGAATGAAGTACATTGTAAAATATTCAGTAGAAAATAATATAATTTAAAAATGTAATTCTGAAAATCAGTGTAAAATTTCAACGGAAATATAAAACAATGAACATAACGAAGTAGTTTCATTCCCGTTGAGTACGAAAAAAGTAGATTTCTCCTTTCCGTCTGCCGTCTGTCGTTTGCTATTTATCAGCGTCTGTGTCGATTTTTATTCAACAGATATTCTTCAAAACTATAGGACCCATTGTTTAGATGGGAAAACGCTAATCAAAATTTGCCTGTTCTTCCCCACTAACAATGGGATGACGTTATCAAAATTTACAATAGTAAATGTTATTTAAATTTTATATAATATACGCCTCCACTTGTAGTTTATGAATCCATGTTCAATTTTTACCATAGGCATCCAAATTTTTGGGAAATATATCAAAATTGTATAGAAACATTTTACAATTTAACTTTGAAATTGCAAAACCGAATGGTCTGAAATCTTGCAAACGTTTTACACAGTAAATTATTAATCAAAATTGATTCGTTTATCCTCCCCCGAAAAAGGTGGATGACGTTATGTCAAAATGTTTCTAAATAAAATAAAAGTTTATAGTTGTGGTTTTACCAATGCATTCATAGTTTTTAGAATTGCTTATATATGGTGAAAAACTTTAATGAATGAGGCGACATGTTTATTGTTCATCGCATTTCCCGGAAAATTTGAAGATACAGTAGGTACTGTTATTAATAGTATTACACTGCATCCCTTCAAACTGATCTACGTTTCCTTGCTAACATGTTGATGGCTTAATAAAAAAAATTTGTAAGGAAAAACTCACTAGAAACTATGCATGTGATACTTCTTTAGTTGTACTTTAAATATCCACGCATATATTAATTTTAATTCATAGAAGTCATAATCCAAAAAAACAATAATAATAATAATAAAATTCACAAAGTCAAATTGTATAATTTTTCGAAGCTGTATTTGTTTGACAGTACGAGTTTAGGAGCGCATTATTAATTAAGAAACCTTGAACAGTTATCAATTATCAAATAATTAGAGAAAAAATGAGACGTAATCTGTTTATCATGTTACGTTCTATTGTGCAATAATCCAAAAGTTACTTTGTCTTAAAAATGGAAGAGTGTGCTTATCTAAAATGAAGAGAACTAATATTACACAATTGATAACATTATCACATAAACTATAATTATCTTTTATGTCATCCTATCTCAAATATAGTACTTAGTATAATAAAATAATTGAACTTAATGCAGTTTTTGTGTTCAAACGTAAAGTATTTATCTACTTAATAAAGTATGTCTGCTAAAGTCACAACAGAAAACGACATAAAATCATGGCTCGAAGTTATTTTGAAAAGCGAAAATCTCGACAACCTATCACTTAAAGTCGAAGGAAATACAGAAGCCGGCACCGGATACGTCGGAGATATATTTTTTGTGGAAGCAAATGGAACAACAAAAGACAAAATTGACAAAAAATACAACCTAGTTATCAAATGTGGTAAACGAAGTAAAGCCTTCAGAAGCAAATTTCCAGTAAACTGTGCCTTCCGGAACGAAATTCTTTTCTATGAGACAATTTTTCCATATTTTCTGCAATTTCAAAAAGACCGGGGTGTGAAAGATCCGTTTGATAAAGTACCAAAATGCTACGGAACTTTTGTTGGCGCTGATTTAGAAGTCATCGTTTTTGAAAATTTGAAAGATAAAGGATATACACTGTGGGATAAGAAAAAGCCTTTGACGAGGCGACACGTAGAGATGATCATTCAAGAGTATGGTAAATTTCATGCCATTTCTATTGCTCTGAAACACCAGAATCCTGAAAAGTTTCAGCAACTTGTGGAGAAGTGTGATGATTTTATGGCAAAGTTGTATGAATACACAGACACAATAACTACACAAGAAGATTTGGTGGATGAATTATATGAACTTTTGCAGGATGAACTCGACGAAAATATTCTTCTAAAATGGAAAGAATTGAAACCCAAAGTGCGACCTTTTTTGAAAAGTCTTGAAAAAAGCGAAGGTGTCGTAATACATGGTGACTGTTGGATAAACAATTTTATGCATTTACATGTTGTAAGTACGGAAGTAACTAAAGCACATTAATATTTAAACTATTTTCATTACAGAACGATGAACCACAAACTTTCGCAATATTAGACTGGCAACTGATAAAAGTTGCTTCGCCAGTCATAGATGTGTCGTATTTTCTTTTTGCGTGTTTGTCAGAAGAAGACGTCGATGATATCGACGTTATATTAAAAGTGTATTATTCAAGTTTAGCTAGTCACTTACAGAAACTGGGAAGTGATACGAATGAGTTGTATCCATTTGAACAGTTTTTAACAGAGTGGAAGGAATATAGTAAATTTGGTGTTTGTTTTACTAATTTAATACATAAATTTGCGTTAACTGACGGTGCAGAAGTTCCTGATTTTGTTCAAGCGGCTGAAGATGGGTACGACATTACGAAGTCTATGGCAGTTAAAATTAAAGACGCAGAGGGTTTTAAGAAAAGGATGCGTTATCTTGTAAAATGTGCTGTAGAACACGATTTAGTTTAGTGGTTTTACCCACCTAAAATAATAAATTAAAAAAATATGTGTACAATTTCCGATATTTTCATTTTAATTAACTAATTTTAAATTTAATGATAATTTTGTACTAACCAAAAAATTTTAATCCAATTAATTCCAGTAAAGAATTTAACAAAATTTAGAGGTGCTGAGTCTCTAACTTTTATCTAACGAGAAGCGCGGAAAACTCTTGTAGTGATTGTGTTTGAAAACTAAATATGAACAAGTTCAAATGTTCATATTATTGTTTTTATAACAGCAAAATTTTAAAGCGGTCGTTAAAGTAAACAATTACAATGCCGCTATAAATATAGATAATTACAATAATATATGTAGTTACAATAACTGAAAACTGCGAACAAGAAAATGGACATGTAGATTTAATTTTCGTATCTGTTAAAGGAACTGACAAAAAAGGTAAAAACAAAGAATACGATCTTGTTTTAAAATGTACCAAATCTGTTTACAGTCCAACGGGAAGTGTTTTTGCATTTAGAAAAGCATTTTATAGAGAAGTTTATTTGTACCAAAATGTGTTTCCACTATTCAAACAATTTCAGGAAAAAAAACACATTGAAAAACCTTTCGACAATTTCTCTAGGTGCTATGGTTTTTACAGTGATGGATTCCAGTATGTCATTGTGTTAGATAATCTAAAAGGTGTGGGGTATGACTTGTGGCCTCAAGACAAACTGTTGTCGAGAGAAGTTATTGATATGGGGCCTACGCAAAATTTCATGCTCTTTCAGTGGCGCTAAAAGATCAGGAACCTGAGAAATTCCTAAAATTGTCTCAAGACTTGGATGAAGATATTTATAATTAAAGCAAAAGAACTAAAAAATATGTTATTTTAATAGAAAATGATAAAAATTTAAATAATCAAACAAAGCTGAAAAAAAAAATTAAATTTTCCAAAAAAGCAAAATCAATCATCATTGACACACTGTTTAAGGACGTCAATAACGGGTATTTCCCCCACGAACCTGTAAGACTACTGCCATTTTCCAGGGCATCCCATGAAATAAATTGTTTATTTATTCTTCTTGGATATTCTCTCAATCCTTTAAAAGCACATTCTGAAGCTCATCTAAAGTGTGAGGTGCAGGTGGTGCACTCAATTAATATGCTGGTTAAGAAACAACATAAAAAAATAGGCATATTAGTTTTTCATACCGGTGAGTGTAGACACATGTAGGGGAAGGCGGGGTAAAGTGATCATAGATATGTAAAAATGGGCATATAAACTTTTATATGCATTATATCAATGATTTAGCGCTTTATGCTGATTCATCAAACATTCGGCTATAACTATAAAGAACTAAAAACGTCAATTGTTAAATATTTTCTTACTTATTTACAATTTATTCCAACCGTGCATTTGGTCCACTTTACCCCTATACCTATAGGGTGGGTAAAGTGGTCCTCCTGATTGGGTAAAGTGGACATATTAATAGAAAATCATAAAAATAAGTACAAAATACAATAAATTTTGAAAAAATATAAAATACTTTTTCAAAATTCCATAAAAACTCAATAACATATCTTCTATAAAATACAAACAAAAAATATAAACAATTGATAGGATTCTAGGCACAAATATCACAAATAAAATAACATCTTTTATAACATACAAACAAAAAATATAAACAATTGATAGGCTTTTAGGCACAAATATCACAAATAAAATTTTTCATTTTTTTGTTAAACCCTGAGCAATCTTCATGAGCCCAATTTTTACATTTTGTGCACTGGACCCATTTTTCTTTAACCTTAGAGTCGCTAAACAGCGAACTAAAATAAATGCATGCAGTATCGTCTTCCCCATTTTTCGAATCATTTTTGGTAAATGTCAGTCTTTTCCTTAGATCATATAATAAATAGATACCACCATGCCGTGTTCTTTCCCTAGCAGAGCCTGTGACGACATCCTCCTGTCACACATCTCTCTCGTGCATGGAGGGATTACAATGAAGCTATCCTTGCCTGATCACTATTTGAATTTTGCGCGCCTAAATTTTAGGAAGTATGTCTGAACTAACTTCGTACGAAAGATGTTGACAGCTTGATTTTATAAATAATTCACAGTAGATAATGAAAGGAATAGTAAATTATTGGGCAGCAATTGTGATCCTTTATGATTACATCACTTAAAATAGGATCTTTGTTCTAAATTCTAAAATTGTTTTCTGTACAACAACTCGAAAGAGAGGTTAGAAGAAACATCTGTCAAAAGCGATTTGTTGTGCTGGTGCGGTACAAGGATAGAAGTGAAATAGACATATACAGATGAAATGCATCTAACAAAGATGAAGATGTGGTGATCACACAAGGATAGCATTATACTACTCTTCTTGACGTAGAAAACGACAACAGATAGCTTCATGTCTAGTCACAGCTTTCAGTTTGAGTATTGGTATCTATTTATTATATGATCTAAGGTCTTTTCTTAGGAATTTTGGTTTTTCTTTTAGGGTAGTCCTATTTTCTTGAAGTTCCTTTGTCTAAAGACTTCCCGTCAGTACCGCAGTTTTACCTGGTTCGGTTTGCCCCATAATACGATGGTCCAGTTTGCCCCCCAATGTACTTCAAATATATTTCAGCTTATATTTCTTGAAACATGAACGTATACAGTTAAATTTTACAATATATCTGTAATGTATTAATTAAGGCGTAGATTAAGTGTACAGTAGGTTAAGTAGGAAGTAGGTCAATAGTAAGCAGGTATTTATTCTGGTATAGAAATTCCACGCACTGTCAAACGAATGAAACGCCAGCGAAATTGATGCTGGGTAGACATCTCCACACGACGCTCAACTTAATGAGACCTGACACAAACCGAGACACGGAAAGGCAATGTAACCATAAAGGTCGAGATTCTCCAACATTTGAGAAGGGAAGTATAGTTTGGATTCGGGATTATCGGAAGCCTAATACCAAAACTTGGCAGGAAGCAAAGGTCATCGACATACTGGGACCACGAAACTACACGTGCGAGTTACCAGATGGACAAAAATGGAGGAGACACGTTGACCAAATGAGAAAAAGAATTGAAGCACCAAGCACTGAGGACAGCAAGTCAGAGACAGTACAACCAGCGAATACAAACCAAGAAGTACCACAAAGGAAGATGCCTGGGGAACCAACAATGCCGTCAGCCACACCGCCACCACCAGAACAAACACCATCTCTCGAACCGCAACCCAATCCTATTCCAGTCATTCCGGTACGCGATAGACCAAAGCGTTCTTGTAACATCCCAGCACGTTACAGAGATTAGGAATTAATATTAGGCGCATTCGGGTTTTTTTTTAAATGTACTAATCTTAAATGGGGGGATATGTAATGTATTAATTAAGGCGTAGATTAAGTGTACAGTAGGTTAAGTAGGAAGTAGGTCAATAGTAAGATGTATGGAATGCGACTGCGCATAGCGTAGGTACTGATGTTTCTTGGAAGGACTCGTTCTCTTTGAGACAGACAGTCGACTAGGTAAGACATAAACTTGTAAGCAGTTTAATAAACACAAATCAACACGTGCTCGTTTTGTTAATACTTATCAATATCAATAAAATAATGTCAGGGCTATAACATGAGATAATGTAGTATCATAAATATACAATATCATCTTAGCTGAAGCTTACACAAAGTACATAAAAAGTTACCGTTTGGAGACCACCAACAGACACACGCACATTAACAACAGCGACATCTTACGACAAAAATCATCTATTAGTAATTAAAAAAAAATTTTTTTTTTCAAGAAGATATCTTTAATTAAGCAACTGTTCACTTTGCCCCCTATGACCTTTTTGCCCCGCGTTCCCCTACTTGTGACCATACGTGTCAAAAAATATATCGAAAAGCATAAAAAAATTGTTTCAAGAAATGTAATGGGTGTTTCTAGCTTAGTTTTTCACTGTCTTTAACCACTTTTTATTCTAATCTACAGTTCATTTGATGTCTTTTTTATACTCAGGCATGTTTTGGGGAAGGCAGTGTCGCCATGAATACCTAATAATCACTGTTGGTTGTTGCTAATTTAATATGATTTTTATTCAATACAGCAGGTAGTAGATTGAGAAATAGAATTACACCAGATTTTTAGCTAGTACTGTTAGTTGAATATTTAGTACCTACATTTTATATACATATACATCATATACAATTTTACACATTGTAAATATTGTAATGCATTTTGCTATTTATCATCAAAAATTATAATGCAGAATAAATAAATTGTTTAGTGGCTAAATAAAAATACAAAGAGTTTCTCACGAAAATGAGAATATGCAATAAAAAAAACGATTTCACCAGTACTGCTTACAATGGGGTAATAAAGACCGCTAAAATTCCAGCGCCAACTAATGGACAACTTTTTTTAATCGGAAGTTTTATACAGTATATTCCCTCTTTCCGAATTGTTTGTTGGGTTAGTTGAAATTCAATTTTCTATTCAAATTGTTGGCAACACTGATAAACAATCTCCCCTCCATAGATCTAACCTTCAACTTCTATCTCATAATCAAACAAAATACAAATCGTGTTTTGTGTGTGTGTGATATTCACTCATTTTCTTGTAATATTTTCATCGCACGTTTCCACATCAGAGTTCATACTGAAGTATTGTTAGTATTAATTATGTAAGTATCCCTTTTTATTTTATCTTTCTTGTTGTAATTTATCTAATATAAATAATTATACGTTAACAACTTAAACGCATGCCCTGAGTGCTTTGACCTATTAGTATCGAACACTCCCAATAGCGGCCGTAGAATACACTCGTATACACAGCTCGTATATTTTTGATCAGCGTCGATTTTTGTCGATCGCGTCGTCTGTCGTCTGGTTTTTGGAATCCTGATCCTCGCGACATCTCTTCGTAACCTATGCAATTACTAGAAGAAATTGCTTTTATCCACTCCTGTCAAGTCATTTAAAAATTACGTTTCTTGTTAACTTCTAAACGAAAATCCCTTAATTAACAAGAATAATTTTTGTAGCATGTGGTAGAGATGCTAAATGTACGAGCTAGAGTCCATCTCATCAAAAACAAAATTTCAAAATTCCATGTTGTCTTTCATCGTGTTTTTTATTGCTATCTCGGTCCAACCGTGTCCGAATAATGAAAATAAAATTGATTAATTATTTTAGAAGTCATCACGATTTAAAATACTACACTACTACCGAGGCGTTAATATTTAAAAAAAAAAACTGTTTTACATCGATACAACTTTAGTTTTTTAGAAACAAAAATTAAGATAAAATAAAGTCAAGATATATGTGGATTGTCAAACTACAGGTAAAGAAGCGTAATATGCGTATATTGCAAGTGAGTTTATATAATTAAATTTTGTGATGACGGTATCAATTTCTTGGCAGCAAGGACACATATCAAATTGGAAAATACACCAAGGTCGTTGTATTAATATAACATTCTTTGTAAGTACAGTGTGATATTAATGACAGGAGCACTGCCTTCCAAATTTTGGGAAAGTAACATTCGCCGTTTTTAATTTAAACAAGAAAATGCATTAATTCATTCATTTTTTGAAGCCACCCTGTAGAGGCGGTTCTAAAAAACATGAATGCACTGATTAATTAGAACTACAAACTCATATCTAGTATTTTGTACCTTTTGGGTGAAATGACGTTATAAAGTTTTTGGATGGAATAAAATATTCAATTTTCTTTTACGTTCATCATGTTTACGATAATCTTAAAAAATTAAATTGTAAAACGTTGTTATACAATTTTTACTTTTTTCTAAAATCCGGTTGTCTAAGTAGAACAGAAAATAAAGGCCAATTCAAAACTGCACATAGTGAGATTAAGGTTAAAATTTAAATAGCATTTATTATCCAAAATTTTGAGGTGAAGAAATTGTTGCTGGAGATTTGACAAACAATCGGTCCAGTAACAGTTTCGAAAATTATCTGTCTAATAACAATCGATACAGAGGACCGATAAACTAAAACACGAGACTTATTTTTTCATGTACCTACTCTACGAGTCATGAAACGTCGAGAAAACATTCGCCGGATGGACCTTATTACAATACTTCCTTGGCTTACGTCCGGAAATGAAACGTGTCAACTTTTTCCGATTGTATGAATCTATTTTCGCAAAAGTTTGTGACAAATTGTAATTTTATTTAATCTTTTGCCTATTGGCTAAATAAAATATGTGATTCCCCTGAATTTCAATCTAAATGGTCGCTGACGATGTTACTTTTGGCGATTTGAGTTTTTGAAAAATATTACCTTCGTTACGGCGAATTTATTAAAATTTTAAATTCCCTCTAAATAACTACTAGAGGGGGGACCAAATCTACATGATCTTTAATACTTTTATCATTTCTCATATTTGGCAAACACGGCAACACTGCTGTGTAATAAACTTTCGAATAAATCTGTATATTTTGAATCAGATTTCTTAGAACATTACATATGGTTTAGGATAGTCCGTAGAAAAAAATATTCATGGGCACTACTTGTTTATACAAAAATATTTCGAAATTTATATAAAAAAATAATGACGGCAAATAAACTTCTCATATAATTTTATCCAAAAGGTGATATTTCAAAGCACTGGATTAGTATAATATATTGTGACGAATGGGTGAGGTTTGATAACAAAACGCATATGTGTACAATGTGATTTCGACTATTAAAAAAATATATATTAATTTTAAATTACCAACATTTGCATTATCACTATATGGCGGCGGTATGACGTTCAAGTGTTGCGCTAATAAAAAACTTTTACTTATCAAATCAATTAGATATAATCATACAAAAGTCAACTACAGTGATAAAATATAGTTATCAAAACAAATAATTACGTAATTTTTTTTATCACAACTCCAATAAAACAACCATCTGTCTAACCTGTGTAAGTTAATTGCTCTATTTTCTGTTGTATTACGTTTGTGTTTTTAGTGTAAAATGTCTACAACAAACAACACAGAAAACGAAATAAAATCTTGGCTTGAAGTAATTCTGAAAAACGAAAACGTTGAAGACCTCTCTGTAAGCCTTGAAGGAAATACAGACCTCGGTTCTGGTTTTAATGGAGACATATATTTTGTGGAAGTAAAAGGAACAACAAAAGAAAAAGTGACTAGAAAATACAATCTAGCTGTTAAGTGTGCCAAGCGAAGCAAAGCTTACCGAAGCAAATTTCCAGTAAACAGTGTGTTTTTAAACGAAATTTATTTCTACGAAACGATTTACCCGTATTTCTTACAGTTCCAAAAAGAGAAAGGTGTAAGTAACCCCTTCGACAAATTAGCGAAATGTTACGGAACTTACATCTCGGATGATTTAGAAGTCATAGTTTTCGATAATTTGAAAGCTAAAGGTTACGCAATGTGGCATAAGAAAAAGCCCTTGACTAGACAACGTGTAGAAATGATTATTAAGGAATATGGAAAGTTTCACGCAATTTCTATTGCTATCAAAGATCAACAACCGGAGAAATTTCAACAACTTACTGAAAAATGCGACGACACATTGGGAAAGATTTTTGAATCTACAGATTTGATAACCTCACAAGAAGAATTAGTCGATGAGATATATGAACTATTGCAAGGTGAGCTTGACGAGGCACTTCTTTTAAAATGGAAAACTTTAAAACCAGAAATTCGACCATTCCTAAAACAGTTTATAGAGGGTTTAGAAGGAATGAATGTTGTAATACATGGCGATTGTTGGAATAACAATTTCATGCATTATCATGTGGTAAGTGTGGAATTATGATAAAAAGAGACATATTAAATCAGTGTTCTTTCAGGACAATCAGCCACCAACTTTTGCTATTTTGGATTGGCAGATGGCCAAGCTTTGTTCACCAGTAACAGATTTGTCATATTTTCTTTTTGGATGCCTATCAGAAGAAGATATAAATGATGTAGATACTATTTTAGAACTGTATTATACAACACTACGAGATCATTTAAGAAAATTAGGCAGCAGTGTTGATCAACTTTATCCATATAGCCAATTTTTGGAAGAGTGGAAAAAGTATATGAAATTTGGTATTATCATGACCCCAGTGATCCATAAATTCTCACTAACTGATGAAGAAGAAGTACCTGATTTTGTCCAAGCAGTTGAAGAAGGTTTTGATTTTGCTAAGTCACTGGCAGTAAAAATTAAGGATGCAGATGCGTTCAAGAGAAGGATGCGATACCTTATAAAATATTATGTTGAGCACGATTTCGCTTAGAGATCTGATTGTGAAACAAAATAAGATAACTAAATGATAACAAACGCAACGTTAAAATTTAATAAAATGTGTTTTTGTTTTATATATTTAAAAAAGTTTTTTTCTCCGAGTTCTTTTTTTTAATAACATATTCTTCTAATCTAACGTTTCTAAAAGCAAGTAGATGGTGTATTTTATTTGAACATTTAACACTGTATTGAAACATTTTTCGAATATCTTTTTTCTCTGAATATTTCCCTGTTAACACAAAAAAAACTACATAGAACTCATCCGTTTCCAAGCCTTATTTTATGAAAGTAATTTTATAAACAAGAAAAGCGGTTAAAATTTATAAATATTTACAAATAATATGCGATAAGAGTGGCGTATTTTAATACAAAATAGGTAATCATTTTCGGCACAACGTGTGTATTTCGTAAAAATCTCCGTAAAGAAAAAAGTGGAACTTGATATACATTGGAGTTTTTATAAATTCGGATTTGTGGGTATCCAAAAGGAATGCTGTAATACTCTTTACTTTATTTTAACTTGTTTTGAAGTTTACTGCAAAAAATACAAACGTATTGACATTAACACAATGTTTTATTTTCTACTTTTTCTTTAAATTGTGTAGCTATGGTACAAATTTAGGTAAATTTACTAAATTACGTCATTATGTTTTCAACTTGTTTATATTATTACATACAATTGTGCAATATTAAAACAAAAGCGTGCTCAAATGAAGAGCACTAAATCGACAAAGACCGATAAAACGCTTATCAAAGTATTTTTTTATTACTCTTTGTTAGACCTCGGATTTGATGCAAAATGTATGTTATGAGTATAGACACATTTTTAGGGTTTTTATGGAAAATATCAGTCCTGATTTTACAAGTTTTTGTCATTCGACCAGTCTCAGTGGTCATACCATCAAAAAACTGAACTTATGATTGTATAATATCTGACCATTTGTGTAACACCATAATTACTTCAATGATTTTGTATGGTATGATAGAAATATTAAATTTTGTGAGAACACATTTTTAGATAAGATAAGAAATTAAAAAAAAATGAGATGTAGAATCACAAATATTTTATTCATTGTAACGCATAACGCATACCGATAATTTTTAATTTATTTACTTATTGTTTTACCTTCAAGTGATTAAATTTTTGTTTATACGTTTGAATTAGTGCGCATGAGCTTGCATTTGAGCTGAAGATTTATAAGGATTACAATCTCAAAAAATAAATGTTTTCCACGTCAAAGGCAAAAGAGCTGGAAAAGATATTACATGAGCTTTTCCCAGTTATTTGATGTACATGCATTGTACATTGTACAAGAAATTTGTCATAAAGCAGAATAAATCATTTTTGTGGACAATTATGTATAAAAGTAATACGTCTATAAATCATCTTCAATCTGAAGAAGTTTAAAGAAATGTCCGTAATAACTTTTGTGTTTAGATAGATATGTATATTATGTAGACACAATGTTATGGTAATTATGATTGAAGATATATTTAACGATCGTGAAAAAGATAATACGCTTTTATCATCGTTTTCATGACACTACAACACATTTTCAGTCAGCGCTAATATAAAAGTCACAAGCATTTATAAATCGGGTTAGTGCACATCTAAACAGCCCGTCTAATGTTGTATTAACATTTTTAAGAAAAAATTATATCAAATTACGTTTTATTTTAATAATGGAAACAAAAACTGATCATAGCAGCGATATTCGAAAGTGGTTAAAAGTTGCACTAGCAGAAGAAAATCTTGAAAATTTTTCTGTCAAGGTAACTGGAACTTCTGAAAAAGGTGATGGTTATGTAGCCGATATAATTTTCGTAATTGTGAAAGGTACTGATACACAAGGCAAGGACAAACACTACGACCTTGTTTTAAAATGCAGTAAGTCTAGTGTCGCTTTAATGGAAAACGTACCGGCTTTTAGAAATGCATTTGTGAGAGAAGCTTACATGTATGAAAACGTTTTTCCCCTTTTCAAAGAATTTCAAGTTAATAAAAGTATCGAAAAACCCTTTGACAGTGTACCGAAATGTTACGGCGTTTTTAGCGACGAATTCAGACACGTTATTGTGCTGGAAAATTTGAAGAAATTAGGGTATGATTTGTGGCCCAGAGGCAAACCACTAACAAGAGAAGTTATAAACATTGTAATAAAACACTACGCAATATTTCATGCAACTTCAGTGGCTTTGGAAGAGCACTATCCCGAAAAATTTCAAAAATTGCTTAATGATTCGACTGATGATGTAGTGAAAAAAATTATGGAATCATCCGCCTTTCTAAAAATGTTTCAAGGTGCTGTAGAAGAGATTTATCATCTGCTGACAAATGATGTTAGAAACGACATTTTAGAAAAATGGTTAAAACTTAAAGATCAAGTCTTTTTCATTTTGTGTGAAATGACACCAGGTGTTGGCGATTTACAAGTGATAAACCATGGAGACTCTTGGGTGAATAACTTTTTGTACAAATTCCAAGTGAGTCTGCTTAATAAATTTCTATTTTAATGGAGTTAATTTAAACGATTTTATAGAACGAAGAGAGAACAATCGTTTCCAGTGTTGCTATACTCGACTGGCAAAATTCGAAATTCACGTCACCTGTAACTGACTTGTCGTACTTTTTGTTCGCTGGTATATCGAAAGAAGATATTGCAGACATGGACACTATTTTAAGAGATTACTATAAATACTTTTGCAAGTATCTAAGGAGACTAGAGAGCAAATTTGCAGATAAATATACATTAGATCAATTTTTTGACGAGTGGAGGAAGTACAGCAAATACGGGGCGTTACTGTGCATTTTGCCAATTAAATCTTTATATACGGAAAAGGAAGATCTTCCAGATATCGCTGAAACTGCAAACAGAGGAGCTGAGATTAGCGATTTTTTTAAATTTGTAACCAAAGATAAAAGTGGTTTCAAAGACAGGTTGAGACCAATTGTTGAATATGCTGTTAAGAATAATCTAATTTAATAGATAACTATAAAAATTAGTTAAATAGTATTAATTTTTGCATATCTAATAATAAGTATCTACAGTTAATCGAGCTTTTTTATTTCGGTTTCAGACCGATGGTAATATTGTTCATAATCAGTCAGTCATATGATACTTTCAAAGTTTTTATTCTATTTCTCACTTCAATTTCGCTCCATAGTTGGAAAGTGAGATATGTTACTTTCAAACCCAAGACCCAAAAAAAATGGTAATACTGAAGTCAATTTTTGCATTTTTCAACAGCTTTCAATTACTCTTTAAATTAACGAAATAAACATTGTGTACTTTAGATGAGTTTTATTTTCCAGCTAACTCCAAAATTTTCTTTTCTCCAGGGAGCTGCGCCCCTCTGTGCATCACATTAAAAAACTGGCGCCCTAGTTTTCCACCTCTTTTGCCATGAGAAACCTGTCCAGTATAAGATTATTGTCATTTTCGGACACATTATAAGCAATGAAATTGTGGAAACACGATATTTTTGTCATTATTCTTCTCAAAATTGGTATAACACTAAACAATTTTTTTAAGAAAACTTCTTGAAACGTAGCAGAGCATGTTAATCACAGATATTCGTCATGATAGGAATAAAACAAATGCATTTCTGTTTTTTTTTTATTGTTTTCATCTACTCCATCAAGTAAATACATCCTAATCAATTGTTAAATCTTTCAGAATGTCTAAAAGTATACGTTATTATTATTGGATATAGTGGCACAAAAATAATTAGAAATTTACTAGAGAAATAAGTTATGAGTCTATGTATATAATATCTAATACTATCACATTTATCTAAATCGATAAAAAAATTCCACCTACTTAAAATCCGTTAAAGGAAAACGTCGACAAGCACCATTGACTGATACAAGTAATAATAAAAAGTTATCTAACAATCTACCTTATTTAATAAAAGCAACTTTTTCAACACGTTAAGTTGATCTAATTTGTTTGTATAGTGTTTTATTTGTATTTCAGTGCAATATGTCGACGACAACAGATATAGAAAACGAAATAAAATCCTGGCTTGAAATAATTTTAAAAAACGAAAACCTTGTAGAGTTCTCCGTAAAACTTGAAGGCAATACGGAACTGGGTACTGGATACAGTGGAGATATATTTTTTGTAGAAGTTGAAGGTTTGACCAACGACAGAGTGAGCAAAAAATATAATCTAGTTGTTAAATGTGCCAAACAAAGCATAGTTCTCCGAAGTAAATTTCCCGTGAATTGCGCTTTTTTAAATGAAATGTATTTCTACGAAACAATCTTCCCGTATTTCTTGAAGTTTCAACAGGAGAAAGGTGTAGAAAATCCATTCGATAAGTTAGCAAAATGCTATGGAGCGGTCATCTCGGATAATTTAGAAGTTATTGCTTTTGACAATTTGAACGTCAAGGGTTACACAATGTGGAATAAAACAAAGCCTTTGACGAGACCACTTACAGAAATGATTATTAAAGAATTCGGAAAATTTCATGCAATATCTATCGCCATTAAAGATCAACAACCGGAGAAATTTCAACAACTAACAGAAAAATGCGATGACTTTTTGGGAAAAATTCATGAATACACAGACATGTTAACTACACACGAAGAATTAGTAGACGAAGTGTATGAACTTTTACAAGGCCAGGTTGACGGCACCTTGCTGTCCAAATGGAAAAGTTTAAGACCAAAGGTTCGACCGTTTATGAAAAAATTCAGGGAAGGTTTAGAAGGACTCAATGTTGTGGTCCACGGCGATTGTTGGAATAATAATTTTATGCATTATCATGTGGTAAGTGGACAGTTTTGATAAAATACAGGTGTTAATTAGTAACTCTTCCAGGACGATCAACAACCAACATTTGCTATAGTGGATTGGCAAATGGCCAAACTATGCTCACCTGTAATAGACGTATCATTTTTTCTCTTTGCATGCTTGTCAGAAGAAGATATTGATGATGTAGATGTTTTCTTAAAATTGTACCACACAGCACTAGGTGATCATTTAAGAAAATTAGGAAGTAATGTTGATCAACTCTATCCATTTAGTCAGTTTTTGGATGACTGGAAAAAATATAGCAAATTTGGTGTTATTATGATCACCTTAATCCACAAATTTTCATTAGCCGAGCGCGAAGAAGTCCCTGATTATGTCCAAACAGCTGAACAGGGCTTCGATGTTGCTAAATCGTTGGATGTTAAAATAAAAGATACACAGGGATTTAAGAAACGGATGGGATATCTTGTAAAGTTTTGTGTAGAGCATGACATCGTTTAGAAATTTAACACATCTACATCAGTAATTAAAATAAATCTTACTTTTAATGCATTTATTATGCACTAATATCTACGCACAATGTATTATTCTTCAAGGCCGAGGAAAATTCTGTTTAAATTACTATAGGTTATTCTATTTTGCTTACTTAGCGAAAAAATCATATCTGCTTTCTTTTGTACGTATTATTGCTTTTAATACGAGGGTCAGTCAAATATAAACCGGAATTATTTTTTATTAATTTAATAATGCAAAACAAATGTATAAACGAACTCTAGAATTTTTCTAAGTAGTCTCCCTGAAGGGATACACATTTTTGCCAACGTCTAGGAAGCTTTTTAATTCCTTTATCATAAAATGTTTGAGGCTGTGTCACAACCCAGTTGCGCACGAACCGCTCCACATCGTTGTCGCTTACGAAACGCTGCCCTCCCATTCCCTCTTTCAGTGGACCAAACAAATGATAGTCGCAGGACGACAAATCTGGGCTACAGACGGGATGTTTGGAGACTTCCCAGTGGAAGTCAACCAATTTTTATGACATTAAAAGGGCTATGTGCGGTCGAGCGTTATCGTGAAGCAAAATTACGTCTCTGGAGTTTGGCGTCTTTTGGATCTGTACGCGGCTTTTGCATCGTCCAAAAGCTGGCAGTAGTATGGAGCATTTACAGTACGACGGTCATGAAGAACTCGACAAGCAATATAAAAAAAAATGGTTGCGAGGACTATGGTGACTCTCATTTTCAAATTTTCACGCCTCTCCTTAAATTTTCTGGACCATTCGTACACTTGAGTTTTTGACAACGTTTCTTCCCCGAAATGTGCAAGCAATTTGGTTAAAATTTAGGAGGATTTGACGCCCTCTTTTGCGAGAAATTTAATGATAACGCGCTGTGCAACCGACGCTGGCACTGCTTGCTTCGACATGATGCTACTGCTCATTGCAAGAAGCTATCGGCTGCCGCTATGCCCACATCCCTTCTCTACGTCCCTACCTTCATATTCTATTTATGGCAGCTTATTAGAATTAGTACAGTTTTCGAAAAAACAGAATTCCGGTTCATAATTGACTGACCCTCGTACTCGATTTATTAACAAAGAAAAAATAAATAAATAAAAATTGTGCAACAAAAACTTTATTACCTAGCACCTATAAAGCGTCTATTTCACACAGGTGACAAAGAATTTCCTTCGTACGTTTGCCATATTCTTCTTCATTAAACTTTACCTTAATAGGCTTGCTTACATCAAAATCGTCTGTTAAATCTAGAATATCATCCTTATTTGTACACTTTATTTTAATCGCACAACAACTCATTATCATTCCAAACCGGGCATACTTTTTCCAGTCTTCCTTCAGGGCTTGAAAAGGGAAAACTACCTCAGCATCACTTCCAAATTGTTTTAATGTTGCTTCTAAACTTTCATAATAAATTTTTAAATACTTTTCTAGATTATCAAACAGTCCTTTAGAACCACCTGAGTACAAACAATAAGATAAATCACAAACTGGGCTTCCTACTTTAACAATCTGGAAATCCAATAAGCGCATATCTACTAATTTTCGGTTGTCTTCGGATGTCTGCAAAAGAATATACATAAAACATACTAGTAGGAACAATATTAATAAATATAAGTACTTCATATTTAAACATCATGTTGTTGCTCCAACAATCGCCATGTAAAATACTAGAATAGTTGCAGGTCTGCGTCGTAATATCATAAAAACAGTCCAGAACACCTTTGTCGGCATACTTTTCAAATTTACTTATTATCACATCATCTTCTTTATCAAGTAAATACGTTCTAACATCAGCTATTAAATCTGTCAGATACTCTTTAAAATTTCCTTCGGGATTAATGACAAATTCTTCATAAATGTTGTGAATTTCACTAGTGAGCTGTTTATATACTTCAGGTTGTTGATCCTTCAGCACAAAGGAATAACCATGAAAACGTCCGTAAGTTTTAAAAATAAAACTAACATGTTCATCGTCCAAAACGGACGTTTTCTCAAACATTTCAAACTTTAACGTTTTCAAATTTTCCAAACACAACATTTCTTTTTCATTTTCAACCAATACTTTAAAACACTGTGGGGAAAACTCCGTGTGTTCAATATTGTGGTTCGCTTCCATTTTCCTAAACGTTGGTCTTATATGCTGGTAGAAATAAATTTCGTTCAAGAAAGATTTTTTGATGGGCACAAATTTTCTAATTTTTTCGTCTACAAAAGCCACTTTTACCACAACACGAAGTTCTTTATCACTAAAATCGTCTTTGATAGTGATCATGAAAATCTGTCCCAGATAACCTTCGCCTTTTTCGTTAGTGGCTGCATCGATAATGGTATACTTTGGTATTCCTTGTTCCGCTGACACTTTTTCTAAAAACGTTAGGACGTCGTGGCGTTCTTTTAGCACTTCCATTGTGCTGTGCGATACAGATTTGTACGTTAAGAAAACTGGTGATCCTGAAACGATGGTGATCATCAATTTTTTATCTTATCTTTCAGCTGACGTAAATGAACAGGTGGATGATAATGATGAAAGATAAGTTCTGGGTAGGTACTACCTACATTTCATAAACACGTTTTTGAAGTATTGGCGAGAATGTAACGAATACTTTTTTTATTACTATTTGACTGAATGATTTGATTTAATATTAACTTTAATATTAAAAAATTGGTCTGAAGAGTTTAGACAGTACTTCCCTTGCTGTCGGAAACGTGACGACTGCGTGTCCATTATGTTTTTTTTTCGCATTATAAGTATTTTTGAAGCGGTGCATTTGAAAATAAATTGAATGTTAATTTTTTCAATTTTGTCATTATTTGGCATTGATATCTTTGTTATTTTTTTTCTGTGATTACTATGATTGCTTATTAAAAAAAAAATTAAATTGGACCAAGTTGTCTCTGGGGTGAATAATGTGATACCTATGCAAAAATTGTCAGGCGTGAACAGATAAAATAAACACCCGTATAGTATTTGTAATTTAAGACAAATAGCAATAACACTTATAAACCTGTAGACGTGATGGTGAAACACAAACTAAACTAAAACATGTTTTCTACGAATTGCAATAACCGGATGAGAATGTCGACGGTCTAGACTTTTTTATTGGTCTGACTTCCGTTTATTGAATCAAACACTACATTTGATTTGGTTTTTGGATGCTGTAATTCACATTTGGTTAATTATAATTTGTCTAGATCTAGGGGTGCATCCCCTAGCCTCCCCCTAGCTACGACCTTATGAAAGTTGGAGGAAATTTGAAAGTACCAAATTGCCCAATGGACTCCATTACTGTACGTCGTTGGGTTATCCTCGGTAAGAAAAACAACTTGAATGTTTCTACATCGGAAGAATGTCACGTATAAATTAGTTTGATTTGAATGAGTTCGTCCCCTCAAAACACAGGATCAAAACAATTAACTAGTAAGCTACAATCGACAAAATGTTTTGAATATCATTATAACTCTTATTAAAAAAAGACGTTTGTATTTTCACATTTTCGGGAAAATGGGCTGATTCGTTCTTAATTTGATCAATAAAAAATATTAATGCTTTGATGAATCACAAGTAAAAACTCATCATATTTTGCACAATTTGGGTAGAAATTATTCGGCAAAATTTTGAGATAACGTCATCAATTTTTTGGGGGAAATAAACAGATTTATTTTGATTAACAATTTACCATGCTTACAATGACTTCAAAATGTCTACAGTGTTTCAAGGTATTCAGTATTGCAATCCTTGATTTAATAAATAAAATTAACTGACTCAATCCTTAATTTTTTTTCAGACACCCCGTATAAGCAAATCTAAAAAATATTAACGCAGTCATAAATTACAAGTATAGACTCATCATTCTTTACACATTTAAGATAGCATTTTTTAGCAAAATTTTGGGGCGGCGTCATCAATTTTTTAGGGGGTAGGTACGAGCAAATAAATTTTGATCAAAAATTTACCATGCTCATGATAAAATGAATTCACTTATTCATTAATTGTTTTTGAGTCACCCTGTATATGCAAATCCAAAAAATATGAATGGAATGTTAAATCACAAGTAGAGACTCATCATTTTTGTACATTTTCGATAGCATTTCCTCGGAAAACTTTTGAGCTGACGTCATTAATTTTTTGGAGGGGATAAGTAAATATATTTTGATTAAAAATTTATCATGCTTACCATAATTGTAAACCATCTGCAAGATTTCAAAGCATTCGGTTTTGTAGTTCCTGAGTCAACTCAGGAAAATAAATTTACGCATTCATTACATTTTTTGAGTCACCCTGTATATGCAAATTCAAAAAATGTGAATGGAGTGATGGGTCACAATTACAGACTCATCATATTTTGTACATTTTAGATAGGATTTATGCGGCAAACTTTTGAGCTGACGTCATCAACTTTTTGGAGAGGATAATCAAATATATTTTGACTAAAGATTTATGATTCTCTTTATAGCCTTAAAACATCTGCAATATTTGAAAGCTTTCGGGTTAGCAGATTCAAAATTAAATTGCTAAATATTGTTTGATAATTTTGATTTTTTTCAAAAATCTGGACGTTACGGGTAAAAACTAAATTCGGAGTCGTAAACTACATGTGTATGTTATTTTATACAATTTAAAACCCATTTACTATGTATAATTTTGAAGTGACGTCATCGCATTAGTGGTGGAGATGACTAGACAAATTTTGGTTAGCATTTTATCATCTACATGATATTCCTAATATAAGTACAAAATTTCACAACAATCGGTCCAGTACTTTAGGAGATTATCTGTTTAATAAAAATCCGGGACGGCAGACAGACGGACAGACGGACAGACAAACGGAAACGGGAGACCTATTTCTTCGTCCTCTAGGGGTCATGAAAGATCGAGAAAACGTAAAAGTAGAGAGTCGGCCGACGGACTCGATTACAATACTTCCTTTGTTTACGCTCAGGAAGTAAAAACAAGGTAAAGCGATTTCTTGTTTTCTTTTTTTGAGGTTATACTTTAGCGCACGAGAATGGATGGAAATTTTCAAAAAAAAAAATAGGGTAGAGTGTGATTTATGTTAAGGAACGGTTTTTTTGATTTGGGTAAAATGCAATATAAGATTAAAATTAGCGGAGTATAGATTTTCCATTACATAAATTAGACATTACAGTCTAGAACGATTTTTATTCCCACATTAGGGTAACTACACATCCTTTAAAAAATAGAAATAATTAAGAGTATACAGGGTCCAAACGTCGGACAGAATTAAAAATTAATTGTTAAGAATTCAAACAAATAAAAACACAAAGTTAGTTGAACCCATAGAGCCACGCACGCGGAGGCCTACTGGCGATGGTGTGCTGCCCCCGGGGCCAGATCCTGTGGGATGGGTCCCAGACTTACAAAGCCATGCACAGTGTGTCACACACCATACATAGTATCAAACATTCAAGACCAACATAACACTCAATGGGCAAGGTTTTTAGACCTCGGCCGGGAATCGAACCGACGTTCCACAGTTGATTAGGTATCTCATGGTTCTTGCGAAAAGCTTAACAGTCAATCCTATATTATAATATATTGTGTTTATTCAGTTTTCTCCTGCTCCTTTCGTGGTTTTTGTTTTCCTTAGTAGTTTACTCTACTGTTCATTGTTTTGATCATCACTGAACATCTTTACAGAGGCGTTATCACACTTATGTGATGCACTCACAATTATTAACAGACGAAATACATTATTACAAGTGAAACGGCGTAGATAACATGTTATCAAATAAAAATATAAAAAAATATACTACGTAACTTGTCTTATTATAGTTCGCAATCCGTCTAACGTAAGAAGTTTAATCTTTTATTTACACTACATTTGTATTTTAGTGCAAGATATCTACGAACAGTGACAGAGAAATGAATAAAATCCTGGCTGAAGGTAATTTTTAAAAACGAAAACATCGAAGATCTTCGCAATAAACTCCAGTTACAGTTTGAATTTCACCAGTTTCTAAGATCATTCTTTTATTATAACCCCTACAAGACGACAGTTAGATGATGATGTAGTGTTTCTAAATATTTTTATTGTGTACTATTTTTACAGTAATGTATAAAATTACTTCTAATCCGTCGAAGATGCTCTTGATCTGTGGAGACTCCAAAGCTTAGAGTTTCGGTTAAATCTTCATCTTTATCTATACTTTCTGTAAAATCTGGAACTTTACTGGTCTCCATTAGACACACTCTTATAACGAAACAACTTAAAAATAACCCAAAGCGAGAAAATTTCTTCCAGTGCTCAATCAGTTTTTCAAACGAAAATGCTTTTTCAGGGTCACAGCCCAACAAAGTTAAATATTTAGTAAAATTATTGTAATAAATTTTCAGTAATTCCTTAACATCTGGATATTTCTCGGTGTCAACACAAGAGTAGATAAAATGTGATAAATCAAATGCAGGCGATCCCAGACCTGAGCATTGCCAATCAAGAACACGAACAGCTGATGGATTTGTTTTGTCGTCCTAAAACAACGAATTTATATCTTTTTTATTTTTAATTACCTCAAGCAAATACCAAAGATTTAAACAAAAAATTGTTGTTCCAGCAATCTCCATGTAATATCACGTGGTAATCCGCCTCTTCAAAATACATATCTTTGAAAGCATACATAACGTCCTCTTCAGAGTAGTCCACGTGCTTTAAAATATCAAGGTCATTTTCATTAAGAGCCATTGCATTTTGGAATTCGCGTTCCATAATAACATCAAATTTCATTTCAGTAAGGACATAGGTAAACATATTGACATTATCTCGAACCAATTCTTTAAAAACATCAGGTTTTTGTATTTTTAAAGCAAATGACAGTGCATGCCACCATCCGTACGCTTCTAAAACCAACTGAATGTGTCGAATGGTCATGGGAAGGCTCTTATTCCACAGCTGGAAGCCTTCAGTTCGTAAATTTTCAAAAATCAGAACTTCGCTGTTGTCGGACACATCAGTGGCGTAACAGTAAGGCATAATATCAATCCATTTCTCTACACCCCTTTCTTCCTGAAATTTCTGAAAAGTTGGCCTCACTTTGTCGTAAACAAAAATCTCTTTAAAAGAAGCTTCTTTCAGGGGAGCTTTCTCTCTCACTTTTTCATTGTCTTTTGTCGACTTTGTGGCGAGGTAAATGGTTTTCTTTGCGCCACTTTTGGTATGGCCGAATACCTTGATAAAGTTGATATCGCCAGCGAAACCATCCCCTTTATCAGTTTGACCTTCAATTTCTATTTCATAGTTAAATATATCGTATTGTTTGAGTGCGACTTCCACCCACTTTTTAATTTTTGCAAAGTTTTGGTCACACATTTTGACACGAGTGTCGAACAGAATGAACTGATACTATTTCTCTGGGTACTCACTCATGTTTGTTATCTTCCCACTCCAAACTGTTGTTAATTATCCGACAAACTTAGACGAGCCTTTTAGTTATGTAAGAGTTGAGCAGTGGTTTAAATCGTATGTCATATTCATCATGATGTGGCATAATAAATGTTGTTATGACTTTAAAAGCAATTATAAATTTTAAACATTTTTTATTTAAAAAAAGAAAAAATAAATACGGAACAAAAATAATAATATACATATGTAGGTACTTAAAACGTGACAATGTGAAAAAATAGAGAAATACCTTTTCACCCACTGATAAGAAAAATCAACACGAAAAATCACTTTAAAATAACTAATTGTTTTCATTTTCAATTTAATAATAATGACAATTAAAAATATACTAGCGCCGTCCCACTTCAATTGGCTGACTCGTTAACAATCTACTTTTAATCCCTTGGATAATATAATTTAACTAAATAAGTAAATAGATGTGTATATTATTACTTGCGTTAAACATAATTGAATAATATGGGATCGTCTAATACCGAGTAGTGTCAGTAATTATAGGAACTTAATTAAAAATAACATTAGACAGAATTTTGGGAAAAAGTTGATCTGCAAGTTACCGTTGTGTGACACCTGTTTCATTTTTGATAACAGCATTAATTGTATATTTACCGACTTATGGCAATTTTCTTTCTTTTTCTTCTCGAGAATCGCGCGACTTCAGACGTGTGTTTGTGAGCTCCCATTGTTTCTCATTTGTATACAGAAGAAAGCAGTCAAAGGATTGGTAATACTGTATTGCGTGGTAAGACAGTAATTTTTCTAAATTGTCTAATTATAAGATCAAAGCGGTATTTTCTTTTTCTGCTCGGAGATAACGGTGTTATCTACACCCACGGACGCCGTGTGGTGAGCTATCGCTCATTTTTACCTCGCTTTTTAGCGGTGGGCAAATGCGGAGAATTAATTTATTTCGAAAGAAAAACAAGTGAGTTCAGCTTGCTTTAGAAAATGGTTACTCCTTGTGGTACGTGCCTTGCAGTTATTGATGGTAAGGCACCGTCTGTATCTTGCAGCGGCATCTGCAACAAGCGTTTTCATTCCCAATGTGTTGACATCACTACTGCGGTTATGAAATATTTAAATTCGGTACCCGGTTTATCGTGGAAGTGCAGCGATTGTGTCCGAAAATGTTTCTATCTTGACCACACAGGTTTAAACAAACTTCTTGAGGACAAACACTCTGAAATGTTAAATAGCTTAAATAGTGTGTTTGATACACTGAAAACTGATTTTAATAAGATCGCTGATGAAAAGATACGAATGTTACATCAATCTGAGATGGATAGTGCAACTGTCCCATCATATTCGAAAATCCTGAAAGACAAAACTCAACCGGCAGTCATCATTAAGCCAAAAAATATCATACAAACTACAACTCTTACTAAGTCCGACATTAGAGACAACATAAATCCCTTGGAGTCCCAGTTATCCTTCACGAAAATTAAAAATACGCAAAGTGGTGGAGTCCTGATAGGTTTTCCTTCTAAGGAAGAAAACGATCGTTTTAAAAAACGTGCTACTGATAAATTAGGAGCTAACTATGAAATCCACGAAATTAAAGGTGTGCAACCCAGAATTAAAATTGTCGGGCTACCTCAGGAATACCCCGAAATTGAACTAATCAATTTTCTCGAACATTCTGTGAAAAGTAAGAGTTTCTCATTGAACTACCATCCTGAATGTAAGCTACTAAAACAGTGGCCGACAAAAAAGGATTTCAAAGTATACCAAGCTGTGTTACAAATCGATCAATCTACATACGATCTCATCATGAAAGCTGGAGGAATATTCATTGGGTACGACTACTGTTATGCTTACGACGCAATTGATATTGTTCGCTGCTTCAACTGCAACGGCTTCAATCACTCTCCAAGAAACTGTCGGCAGCCAAAATCTTGTCCGAAGTGCGGGTTAGAACATTCTGTATCTGAATGTAAAGCTCAAACTCTCAATTGCTTCAACTGTAAAAAAGCAACAAAAGATAGTGACACTCAGCACAACACAAATCATGCCGCATGGGACAACAGATGTCCTGTATATCAAGCTGCAGTAGATCAATTTAAAAAAGAAAATTTCCTACGGCAATAGCAATTACTTACAAACTCATCAACATGTGTACTGGAATATATAAATGCTTCGAATACTAATACCCCAGGTGAGCCCTCACCTAATGAAACTGAAACTGTAACTGAATTAAAACAATTTTCCTTTGCATACACAAATATCGCATCAATAATGGCAAAATTAAACTCCCTAAATTTATATTTACAGAATAACAGAACTTCATGTTTAGCTATATCCGAGACATGGTTAAATGAATCAATTGGTAATAAGTTAATTGACTTGCCTGATTATCATATCTATCGTTGTGATCGAAAAGGAAATGGAGGTGGAGTATGTATTTTACTAAACAAAATTGATTTTCATAATTTTAGAATTTCTGAAATGCATCATAATATTACCTCATCTACTATTGAGTGTTTGTTTCTCTGTATATCTTTTAAAACAGTTTCTTTTTGTGTAGGTTGTATATATCGTTCACCCACCACCTCACTGGCAGATGATATACTACTAATTAATGAACTTAAGAGAATTTCCGATTATTATAGTTGCTTAATTGTCTGTGGAGATTTTAATCTGCCAGATATTAAATGGCCCATTACATATATACCAGAAGGTAATAATACGAATTCACTCTTTGTAGAAATGTATCTTGACTCTAATTATAATCAACTAGTGCACGAACCCACTCGATTTAGACTTGGTAATACCCCGTCACTCTTAGACTTAATTCTAATTAATGATACTACTCTTCTTTCTCATATTAACATTTCCTCTCCAATAGGCATTTCTGATCATGCAGTAATAGAATCTAATATCCAGATAACTCTAGTCACAGCTTCAAAACACAGAAAAGAGTTATACAAAATAATCGACCATAATCAAGTTTCTTTTGTCATGGACCACCTCAACTGGGAAGCCTTTTACTCTATTTCTGAAGTAAACACTTTGTGGAATGTATTCAAAAACACAATACATAGTGTAGTTGCTAACAACAGTAAGACGAAAGTCAAGCAGTCGAATAGTACAAAACCTTGGATTTCAGGGGATTTACTGCGAAGGGTTAAGTATAAAAGAAAATTGTGGAAAAAATATAAACTGACAAAGAAAACAGAAGATTTTGAGTTGCACCGCAGTTTTGCCAATATACTAAGCAAAGATTTAAATAAGGCCAGACAAATTTATGAAAATTCCTTGTTGAACAGAGGACCAAAAGCAGTGTATAAATATACTAAACGCAAACTGTGTTCGAAAATTTCTTTGCCTACTGTAAAAAACAACGATGGTCATTGTTCTAAATCCAACTCTGAATCGGCTGAAATACTAGCAGAATTTTTTGCCAGTACATATACCAGTGAAGACTCTCAAAATCTACCTAATTCTCCTCCGACATCATCGTATCTTGATACTATAGAAATAAATGAAGCCATAGTTTATTGTGAGCTATTGAACCTTTCTGAACATAGTGCCCCTGGTCCTGATAATATCTGTGGTTCTTTCTTAAAAAAATATGCTCTGCAATTAGCCAAGCCTCTTGCTCACATAATGTCCCAGTCTTTACTTTCAACTTCTTTACCGTCCGACTGGTTAACATCTTCTGTCACACCCATTTTTAAAAAAGGTGACAAAACTGACCGAAAAAACTATCGTCCTATAAGTTTGACTGCAGTTTGCTATAAATTAATGGAACGAATTTTGTGTAAAAGAATAATTCATTTTGCTATTCATGAAGGTATAGTACCTGACGAACAACATGGCTTTCTCCCTGGTCGTTCCACTGAGACATGCCTTTTATACTGTTTAGATAAATGGACCAAAGCTATTGACCGTGGTGATTCCGTTGATATTGTTTATATAGATTTTCAAAAGGCATTCGACAAAGTTCCTCATCGAAGGCTAATACACAAACTGAGAGAGTTAGGTATTAAGGGTAATCTCTTGAAATGGATATCCGCTTTCCTATCTGAACGTGTCTTTTACGTCAGAGTTGGTGATTCATTGTCCAATAATTATGCTGTAAAATCCGGAGTTCCTCAGGGATCCGTCCTAGGGCCTGTTTTATTTGTTCTTTATATATCTGATTTAAGTCGTCTTCTAAAATCAGATCATGCCTTTTATGCGGATGATCTTAAAATTTTTAACTATCCCAATAGTAGTTATAATATCCTAATCGAAGACCTAAATACTGTGCTACAATGGTGCGATCTGTGGCTAATTCCTATTAACAAAGAAAAGTGCGTCATTCTTCATCTGGGTGCAAAAAATCCATGTTTAAACTATCGTATTGGCAACGATCTCATCAAAGCTGTTGATAAGTATGTAGACCTTGGTATCACGATTCAAAGCGACCTCAAATGGTCGCACCACTCTTTAAAAACTGTTAAAAAAACAAACATTACGATGTATCTGCTTCGAAAAGCCTTCCAAAGTCTATCGAAGGAGTCATTTCTGACATTGTATAAATCTTATGTTAGACCTCAGTTGGAATACGCATCTGTTGTCTGGTGTCCTTTCTTACAAAAAGACATTGAATTATTAGAGCGAGCTCAAAGACGCGCAACCAAAACGGTCGCTAGCCTACATAACCTTCCGTATTCTCAGAGGCTCCAAGAACTAGCACTTTGCACTCTGTCGGAAAGACGATCCAGAAACGATTTAGTCTGGACATTTAAAATTTTGAAAGGTTATCTTGGGGTCGACTTGTCACCTTTATTTAACATCAACAGTGACGAACGTCTTCGTGGTCACAGCTTAAAATTGCGTCATAATCAGTACAAAAGCAAGATCCGGGAAAACTTTTTAAGTAATCGAGTATTTACTGCCTGGAATGCCCTACCCGCAAACGCTATTAATTCTCGT